AAGAACCAAAAGTATTTGATGTTTAACAACAAGTAAAAGTTATTCAAAAATCAGTCTAAATGTGTGAGAATAAAAGTGAATTATCATAAAGAGTCTCACCCATGCTGACAGAATCCAAAACAAAACCAATAAGCAACTGAAACACCAAATCAAGTCAATCACAGCACTCCTCCTCAGGCTTTTATACACCTCTACAGCTAAAACTCACTCAGCTGTGTTCAATCACCAGTCAAGCTCTACCAGCCTTAGTTTTAAGTGGGTAAGTACACCATCATGTGGCTAAAGAGCGGTACTACATCTGAAATCAAATTTTTGCTGCAAATAAATAAAAGTTTGAGGTTGAATATCAGAAGATCATTAAAAAAAACTCCAAATACCTGTCAACATGAACCCTTTCCGCCCAAGCATCTGCCTCTTTATTAGGGTTTATTGTATTTCTTAAGGTGATTTTTGCAACTTTACTTAACTTATTTAAACGTAACTAAATGTTGTTTACAGTTAATCACAACAAACACAGATATCAATGCTACTATCATAAATTTTAGGTAAAATTATATCTAATAAGCAACAAAAATAGAATCAAGCTATTGTTTGTGTCCCATCAGATGGAAATTGTTGCATTCATATGCTTTCTCACAATGTCCTTTCACAATAAAAGCCTCCAAAGGCACAAAACTGTAATTCCAGTACAATAATCTAATTTAAAATATTTCCATTTTTTTATTAAATCCAATTGTTAGATTTACAAAATAACAATGACAACAACTAATTTCTCTCTCTCTCTCTTATTTATTTATTTTTTTTTTTCGTTTTCTTCGTTGCAGAAGGCGACAGATCACAGGTACTATCGGCGCCAAAAGATTGATTTGCTGCAGTTTACAGTTTAATTACTAACTGTTACCATTAAGACTGAGTGATGGCCATCCAGATGGTGAGACACCAATTGCATCTGGAGCCTGGTGGCACATAATCATTAAAATGGATGCAAATGGCAACCTTTTACAGATTAATGCCGCTGATCTAATCACCAGGATGACCAGTAAGTAAACAGAGCTGCAGGATTTACTGTGAGACTTTTGGCTTTGCGACAAAAAACTGTCTGATGATCCAGAGCTTGGGAGTAAATTCCAGCTGGGAAAAAAAAACAAATCTCCTTTTATTTGTTGATTTTAAAGATTGAGTCCAAACCACTGCCACCTGTATTTCCTGATTTAGGTTAATTGCAAACATATTAAGTTGATATAAACTAAGTGCTTCATTTTTAATATGTGATCAAATATAAAGAAACTCATAAAATAGCTAAACAATAAAAAATACGAAAAATAATACCATAAACATTTGGAAATATAATAGTTGAACAAACAGGTCTTATGATGGTTTGTGTCAAATTTTTGGTTGTTGCATGTAGTGAGTTATATAAAGCAGATGACTGCTTTCTTTTCTGGTCTGTGACATCCACAACTCTCCACTACTCACATGAGTCAAAACCAAAGTCTTTTATAGTCCGCAGAACAAGAACAGAGAGCAAACTGGAGTAGGAGATCTAGTTTTAAGGAGATTTATGTGAAATCTTAGTTTTACCATAAATTTAAAGTCATTTAAAGTGTTCTTTCTCTCTTTTTTACCTTTGTAATTGTGAGGTTTGAAGCAGAAATTAGCAATATACTAAGAGATTTTTGTATAACGCAAAACTATATAAAAGTATAACAATAAAACATAACATTGCTCACCTTTTTTATTCTTAGCAAGTTTATTTATTTACTTCCTGTAGTTTATGTGTGTTTGTAAAGCGTCTTTGAGTGTCCTAAAAGTGCTACATAAGTCTGATGAATAACTATTATTATTTATATGTATTTATTTGTTTATTTATTTGTTTATTTATTTGTTCGTTCGTTCGATTGGTTGGTTGGTCTTGTTTTTGCCAATCACTTTCTTTCTTTTGTGTTTAGTTCAATTTTGAAAAAGATAAAAGTCTAAATAGCCATCTTTGTGTTTTAATATTTTTAACACAAAAAACATCACCATTTCATTTGCCAAAGCACTCATCCCAACATCAAACACACATCAAAGCCTCCACCATTTCTCCCCCTCAGCTGTTTCCATGGCGACATGTTTGACTGATTAGATTCCACAAAATTTTAAATCTGTCAAATGTGAAAGCAGCTGTTGACCAGACTAACGAGAACGAGCGAGGGACTGAGACAAGATTAGATCTACTTCAGCTCATTAATTACAGCTGGTAGTTTATTGGGAACAAACTCAGAGGATAAATAGACCAAAAATTCTAAACATGGTAGAAAATAAAAGTTCTACTGAAATGTATGGAAAACATCAACTCAGACATTTTAACCTTTTATTTATAAGAATGAATGAATGAATGAATGAATGAATGAATGAATGAAAATAGATTGGGCAAATGCTTATTTACAACTATTGTGTTCATGAACAGATGAGAAGGCTCAGTGGGTGTCTAGCCTGAAACAGATGATAAGATGAGGAAACATCTGTAGATTTTAGAAAAGGAAGCTATTTTTTTCTGGTGTTTCCATTCACTGAAGAGGCAAAACATGAACAATCTAACAAGTTTCTTTCTATTTAAGCTCAGACAGATGAATAAAATTTTCTCTTCAGTTTAATGATAAACACTTAGGGTTTTTGTATTTTTTGTCTTTCACTTTCATAGATTTAAGCAACAAAATTCCACATTTCCATTTTCCTGTGTACAAGACACACACTCACACATACAGGTGTTTATAATAATGATGTCAGCCATATTCCAAAGCCCTCTCATAATTACACCTCATCTCAATCTAAATGTTATGGGGCCATTTCTCTCAGAGTCCAGGGAAACGTTTCCACCTTCAGATCAGAGGTGGCGGCCTTTAGCTGATTGTGTTTGTAATAATTCTGCTGACATTTCCCTTTCTGAAATGAGCAGATCAAGCATGCAGCTAAAGGGAAAACAAATAACACAACATTCAATTGACTTAACCACAGCGAGGTATAAAATGTCCATTAATTAAAGTACTTTGATGAATGCGGTTAAAATGAGCTGAAGCATTATATAAAAGTTCTTGTCTAAACTCAGTTCAGTATATTTACATTCACTGTCAACTATAAAATGTAAACAATCTGCCTGCAGCATTATTCCATTCACCTTTTCACAATGACAGAGTGATGAAGAAGCTTGGACCTCAGTCATCCTCTCCCTCCTCCTGCTGCTGCTCCCTTTGTCACTTCAGAGGAGAGATAGAGGTGTCTCACTCTGGCAGGAGAGACAGGATGGAGAGGAAAGCAGACACAACTCCAACTCCACTCACACTAACTACTTTACTGTAAAGACTGATTTGCTGGATGTGCAAGGTGAGTTTTCTCTTTCCTTTTTTGGAGCTTTCTTTCTTTTTTTTAACCCTTTAACAGTAGGGCCAACTGTCTGCCGTGGCACGTGTCAATGTATCTTATTGTGGCGTGAACTGAACATAACTCAAAACTAACCTGCTAAAGTACAAAATAATATAAATGGTTTCTAATTATTCCACTAAGGTGTGTGTGTGTGTGTGTGTGTGTGTGTGTGTGTGTGTGTGTGTGTGTGTGTGTGTGTGTGTGTGTGTGTGTGTGTGTGTGTGTGGATATATACATATATATATATATATATATATATAAACATATTGTTTATATATAATATATTTATATATGTATGTATGTATATATCATATATATATATATGTATATATATATATATATATATATATATATATATATATATATAATTTTGATTATCCTAAAATTAATTATTTTTGTGTGTGTTACTAATTCACATTAAATGTTTCATTGTCTCAAATTCAATTTTAAAAAGCTAAAATAAATTAATACATTTTGTTTTAATTGATGGCATAAATGTAGAAGGTGAAATACATTTAGTTTGTTAAACTCAGGATTGAAAGCTTGAAATGTCATTAAATTAACAAGCAAATGCACCAATTCTTCCTTTTCAGCTATTTTTCATTAACAGAACCTGGAATGCTTTAAAAAAAATTATAACAGACAATTTATGGAGCTTTTAAAGGTACACTTGGCAGTTTTGCTTGCTTTTAGCACCCCCTAGTGTCCGTTTAGTAGAACCTAAAGTGAAACTTATCTCCTTAATCCAACGTGACTCAATAGGCGGCCCTGCGGGCTGGACTTGGCCCTTCTTTGAGCCCTCCGAACTGCGCAACTCTGTATCATTAAAGGGTCATTTTAGCACATACTGTCTGAAGAAATTTATTTAAAAATATGAAAAAGTTGCATAGTATGCCTTTAACGGCAGTGTTTAATTATGAAGACTTAAAATGTAACTTTAACCCTTTGATGCATGAATTATGAAATCTTCAACCATGATTTTTTGAACAGTTTTTTCCATTCATTTTTAGGTGTGAATGAAACAAATTTCAACAAATATGTTTTGTAACATTTAATAATTTACATATAATTTATTACATGTCCACCTCAGTGGACAGCATGCACTCTGAACATGAAACATGTTGGCTGGACTTACTAAAGTCCAAATGGAGAGGCTCAAATGCAATAAAGTCTTCAACAGCCGTGCTTAATAGCAAAAATAAATAAATAACAATTTTGAGTACCTGTCCACTGTAGTGACCATCATGCATCAAAGGGATAAATTATAAAATATTTTATATTTGGTTGTTTTCATGTTGCATGGCATCAGCTTTGTTTCAGCACCTTGGACAGCTTCAGCCTCTCCCACGGTAGTCCTCTACTGTAGGGAAGTCATTTTAACCATATGTGCTTTAAAAATTGTCTAAATCTTTAGAAAAGTAGACATTCTTGCATAATTACTGATACACTTTTGTATAGATTCAGAATTTTCCTTGTATCTGAACATGATGTTTAGCTCTGACCAACAGGTAACTGTCCTCTCCAGAGGACAAAAGAACACCACTTTGTCCATGCCGGCCAAGCTAGTGCAGAGCACCAGGGAGGACAGGGCATGCTCCAGGGAGGAGAGGAGGCGCAGCAGACGTGCCACAGCTAAATATCGTTTTGCACATGCCTCCAGGGAGAGGGTTCGTGTTGTGGCATTCAACATGGCATTTACGGAGCTGAGGAACCTCCTCCCGACTCTCCCACCTGACAAGAAGCTGTCCAAGATTGAGATCCTGCGACTGGCTGTATGTTACATCTCTTACCTCAACCATGTGCTGGAGGTTTGAGGAATATACGCAGCAAATAAACAGTAAATGAATGGAACTAATGCAGGTCTCTTACAGAGAACAGGACTGGACACTGTTTCAAAATGTATCTTTTGACATAAACTTCTTTTATGAGCAAAGATGTGTTCGGGTGTGGCTGCAGGGGCTCCACCTTGTGGCAGCTGAGGGATGTAGCATCTTAACACAACAGTAACTTTGAACATGCTGTAGCAAACTTTTTTTTATGAGCAGGAATGCTAAGATAAATGTTGTGCTTCACTCGTGCAATTACAATTATCTTTTGGAACAATAAACTGATGTGGAACTCCTGGACTGACCTGCATCAGTGGACAGTAGCATCAATCAACGTCTGTGGGGAGTTTTGAAACGCTTTATCATCAACAGCTTAATTTATCCTTCAATGAAATGATTGTTGTAAGAATTTCTAAAAATAATGAGAATTAGTTCAACAGTTCAGTTATTAGATTAATAATTTTGAAAAATAAACTACTAAAAGAAACTATTTTTTCTAATGAATCAACTGTGGCACAATGAGCATCATTTTGATTTCTAAATAAATTTATAATAATCTATATTCTTCAGTAAAAATTTTGTTGAGATAGATTTATTGACATTTTCTGGAAGAAGCATCATTTATTTACTGCACTGATTGTGGATGGGGATCCTGTAGGACTTATATTATTATGAGCTAGATATAAAAACATTATGACGTTCAGCATATCAATGTTTAGAATTTTTTATATGTGATTTATAATTTCTTCTAACTGTGCATTTAGCAGCAGCCTCTGTCCTTCATGATATTTATCCTTGTGGCTTACTTGTTTATTTTATTCTATTATTTTTTTTTTTTTTTTTTTTTTTTTTTTTTGGGATGATTCAGACCACCTTGGGGACTCATCCAGATCTGGAAGAAGAAAAGTCTCAGTCCCCACCAGGGTCTGAGTGTATTATTGCATCTAATTAGATGGGAAGCAAAAGCTGAATATTTACCTTAGAGATTTAGTCAAAAATATGAATTATTAATTTTAAAAACATACATCAATTCAAGAGTTCCATAAGCAGTTAGTGAGGAGGTTGCTAAATGAAATACTATAATTTCTTTCTTTCTTTCTTTCTTTCTTTCTTTTCTTTCTTTCATCAATATTTATTTATTTATTTATTTATTTATTTATTTATTTATTCATGTATTTATTTATTTTTCTTCTTTAGTTAGTTAGTTAGTTAGTTAGTTAGTTAGTTAGTTAGTTAGTTAGTTAGTTAGTTAGTTAGTTAGTTAGTTAGTTAGTTAGTTAGTTAGTTAAGAGGGACATATAACATCAATAATGAAAACACACCCATTTACAGCTGGAGCTGATTTCCTCTGCCAGGTCTTACAAGCCAAACCCACACACACACACACACACACACACACACACACACACACACACACACACACACACACACACACAGTATAAGGAAAAGGATAAAAGTTTCAGAATAGGCCAAGATAATTAAAATACTGTGTAAATAACTCATATTATATCACAATCTATTTGCTGTAATCTATGACTATGGCTGCTCTGTAGATATGAAATGTCATGTGCTCCACAAGGTGTCATCCGAGGAAATAAAAAGGATGTTCAGTTACATATTATTCCACTATTGCTTATATGGGTATGTATGTGTGTGTGTGTGTGTGTGTGTGTGTGTGTGTGTGTGTGTGTGTGTGTGTGTGTGTGTGTGTGTGTGTGTGTGTGTGTGTGTGTGTGTGTGTGTGTGTGTGTGTGTGTGTGTGTGTGTGTGTGTGTGTGTGTGTGTGTGTGTGGTGATGATGGAGGTTGTCCTCTCCATTAGCAAGTATATCTACATCTCCCTTTTATGTGAATATCTGTGGAGTAATGTAACCCGAGGGTGGTCTGGGTATTCTTAGTGTCTACTCTACCAGCAACAGTGGCAGCCCCTTGTACACACACTGACCTGCACACTTCATACTCTGTGTTGTGTATGATCTTCAATTAGAGCTTTGAAGAGTTAAAGATAATTTTACTGATTTTTTTTTTTTTTTTTGGGGGGGGGGGTTGCTTTAAGAAAACATGGGACTTTTTTATTGAACTTACAAGAACCACAATTAAAATGACTTATGGACACAGCACTATTTGTGAATGAAAATCTACATTTTGGGTTCATTCAAAGACTTTTATTTTCTCTGGATGATTCCTGAAGGCCTCTGTTTCAAGAACGAGTGTTTGAATCTGACACGCCTGATGAGTCTACAGTGAATATGTGTGCAGCCGAAACCACAATGGATTGCTGCTGTAATGTTGTGCAAAATAAAGGTAAAGATGTACAGGTCTGAAAGGCAGCACGGTCTCCTAAATGTTACAGCTGTTCGTGCAAAAATGATTTTATAAACATTTATGCAGCTTTTAACGGCACCTGGTTCTACAAGTATGTATTATTAGACTCAGCAGCAGTGCTACATTTTGCTGCAGTTGCTGGTGAGATGTATGCTCGTAAATAACCATAGAATCCCAGTAAATAACTTTGTAACACAAAACTGATGGGCAAATATTTATTAGATTATCTTCACAGGGACATTTTTGAGGAGCTGGAGAATTTGAATCCACCCTGTAACTTCAGGGCCTCTGCCCACTTTTATTCCAGCTTCTTAGCATCACACTTTGGGGCCCACATGCAGCATGTTTCATTTGAGCCAATAGGGCCCATGCAAGCTTAGTTCTTCATTCACAGCAGCCCCAAAGGTGCTTGATGGATTCACTATTTCTCCAAAGGATATTCAGGTAAATAGCCACAGCAGGAAAATATCCATGACTTTTAAAAACTTTAAAAGTTTGATTTAGTTACTATGATTGACAATAAAACGCAGGTGTCTCTAGAGTTGTCATAATTTTTCTAAAATCTGAGTTTTTCCCCTTACTGATCGTCTTAAATGGTGCCCTCTTGTGGTCAACAGGAGGATTTAAACATTTTCATTGTAGTGCTTTTTAAGAGTCTCCCATCCATCCTGCCTACCTCTCTGGTCCCGACCACAATGGCCAGCCTCGAATGAAGGAGCTCCTCTCGGTTCAGACCATAGACTGTTCAGACGCAGCAGGAGCAGTGGAGACGCGTTCACGGACACCAGGACGCTTACGGAAGAACACGAGACGCTCCTTATACAAAGGTAGGTTAAATCTATGTCCGTTGGGTGGGTTTGCTGATGAAACCGGGATCGGGTGAGTGCCAAAAAAACCGGAGACGCACGACCTCATAGGTATTACCGAGGAAGTTCACCGCTGAGGCGTGGCGAATTCACAAAACCCGGGTTCTTCCTGCCTCCGCTCATCGTTTTTTAATTGTAAAAGCAACGATTTTTTTCTCACTTTTTTATACATTCAGGTCCATTTTTATTTAACAACAGAACGTGGTGATGTTACAGGCCATCACGGATAAAGGGGGGAATGAGACTGCAGATCCTTGTGATCCGGATCAGTAGCATCCCTTTGCTCAATCAGAACCAGCTGCAGATGAAATAAGATGGTGTTTGGATCCTCCACAGGACATTGCCATCAACATCAGCAGCAGCAGCTGCATCTGTCTGCAGTGTTGCACAGCTGGATGAGGTATTACCTAAATGTGTCTCCTGTGGCTGCCTCTCAGCCCTGATGATGCAAAAAAGAAACTGGAGTCACCAATTTCTTATCTGGCTGTGCTGATAGATTTCTTATTTTTTGTGCTGAGGGGAGTCAGAACATGAGGGAAAGTCTTGATAAGATGAGTCATCCCATGGAGGAGATCATTTCAGGCCAGGAGAGATCAAGATGAAGCAGCGTGGGAGTACATTTGCCATTGTACTTTTTAAAAATGAGCTTTCTGACTGGCTGGACAAGATGTAAGGAGCGTAACAAGAAGTGGCACTACCTTTAGGCTACGCACAAACGTTCGGATGGTGTAATGCTCTGTTCTTTACTGCGTACAAAGATATGAAAGCACTCAGAGTAGGATTGTACCGGGCTGTCTCCGCTCTCCCACCTCCTTCCCCTGTTTTCCTACTATACTGTGATTTAGTTCCACATGAATGGATCAGAGGCTGAAGTTTGCATTCCAGAGAGCTGTGTCAAGTCTTTGCCTTCTAATATTTCTCAGTGTGTGGGGGGTGTAAGGGGGTGTGAATTAGCAAAGTGGGAAAAGTAGAGAGTCAATCAGAGGTCAAGGGTTTGGTCTTTGCACAAAAATGTTGAAGAAATGCGCAACGAAGACTGAAACAAAGCTGTTTTTTTAATGATGCCTGACGTGGATGGTGGAGTTGTTTATGCTTTTGCAGAAAAACTGAAATATGTATAAAAATAATTGCACTCCCTTTGCCTTTAAGGTGATAAATATGCAACAAATGGTTCCATAAATAATAAAACTATGGTCTTTCTTTGCTGTTTCTGTCTTTTCTGTGATTTTGGTTGAATCTGCTAATGAACAGGTATTTTTCAGGGACCAGATCCATGAATAAGTGGAATAACTTTGACGCATGTCCTGTGTCAGCATTAGTTTGACTTCACAGACACGTTAACAATCACGTGTGTTACTTCTGCCCATTTTGTTGACTGCTTTCAAATCCTGAAACGGTCAGCTGCTGCATCAGGCAGATTATAGCGTAATAACACCAGAGCAGGGTGTGCATGGAGGAAGGAAGGTGGGCACAATAGCTAATGGATGTGGGGGCAGGGATGGGGGGCACTGGTTCCACGGTAACCAGGCTTCAGGATGTGCTTTATCAGAGCTCTGAGACTGATATGTGCCATTTAGGATGCCAAGGCTGCATTGGATCAGATTCTTCCATCACTACAGATTAATAATCAGAATCTGATTTATTTATGTTGCAGCTTCGCTGTTGAAGTCATGTGTGGTGCACGATTGCAAGAATATTTTTGATTTTTTTTTTTTTTTCAAATTAAAAAACAAACATGAGATTCCACATTTGTGTGTGTGCCTGACAGCGTGTGAGAGTGTGTCAGTATTAGTTGCTGCTGTGCACCAGTCTCCAGCCACTAAACAAACACATTAATGAATGTTTGTTTTACATTAGTGTCAGTTTCTGCCCCTGTGAGTTGCTCGGGGCGCCCATGCAGAACGATGTGCAGCGATGCAACCGTACTTCATCACCAAAAGGATATTCTGCTCACGGAAGTACATTAAACAGACTAAAGATTGCAGCTCTTGTGCATGAGCTGAGTCCAAGTAAACAAGCAGAGACAAAAAGCTTGTTTTTTTATGTTTTTTGTGCCTTATAGTTATTCTTGGAGTGTAATTGATAGTTTTTCTTTCCCCGTGGCTGCGATTTTCCACATGGCCTGGTTCACATGCCTCCTCCTCATCCTCATCATCTTGTGCATGAGTGGCTTTTCAGTAGCATCCTCCTGGCCCACATACCGAGGCCACGCGCTCAGAGAGCATGCGGCACTCAGGGGGTTAACAGCTTTGATTCAAATGTTCAGCCTTATTCATTTAACCAGATGGGTTCTGGATGGGACCGGAGACCATTGTTTGCTCTTTGGGTCCTCTCATCAAGCCACCCCCCACCTTCCTTCCCGCACACACACACACACACACACACACACACATAAGTGTATCGCACAAATATCCTCTCGGCAGGGGTGATTGATTGTTGCCCCTAAATGGGGCCTTCTGCCTCGACTGTTGCCGGGGCAACAGCGGACGCTCCAGATGTGGGTTAGATGTGCAGCTCTGTGTTTTAAAATGGGATGCTGCACCTGTTTGACTCTATGATTGACACGTGGAAGCACATTATTCATAAAACGCTTTTTAAAATGATGCATTCTTATATTTCATGTAGTATAACCACCATAATTTGTTTGACATTCGTATCCGTTGCTGACAACAAATGGACTGCAAATGGGGTGCAGAATAATTGCAGTTAATAAAGTGAGCCGATGCTGCGGATGGTTTCTGGCAGCTGGTTGTCAAGACAACAGCTGGGAGACAGACAGGGTGTCTAGTGAGGTCTAAATGAACCGTCATGGATGGAGAAGCCTTCTGGATGCATCACACAGCTCTCATTAAGGCTCAGGAGGGTGGCGGATGCATGTCCCGGCTGTAATTGGCATAGTGGAGCAGTAGTTATGAATCTCTCCCGGTATGTTCATGTTTACAAGATGAAAATGTATAGATGGATTTTTTTATTTACCACAGAGTAGTTTTGAATTAATGGGCTTAATTGATTTTTGATAATATACTTTTTTTTAGCCAGGTGAAATTTAATAGCATAAACACATTGCATGCATGTTGCTAAGCTAATAGAGGAACTCTGAGATTTAATGTTTTAGTAAAAAGTTAAAGGTTTGAGGATTTATTGATTTATTTCCCAGAATCTTGTTTCTTGGAGGAACGCTTTTCACCCGATACCTTTACTTAGTTAAGTTCCAAGTTTAAACAAGCTATTTCCAATTTTTCTGAAAATATCATAGCTGTCATCTCATGCACTGCTGGAGCATCTAATGCACTTGGAGTATTTGCTAGGGATGGTTCTTGGCTGCCGTGACACCAGATTCTACTCAGTGTCTGTAAAACTGGCATAAAACAGACATTTTTTGTGTGTTTGACTGTGGACTTTGTTACATCTGACATTTTAAATGTGGTTTTTAAATGTCTGATATTTTAGTACCAAGAGAAACAAGAAAAGCCTCAGATGAAACTTTAATATATATGAATAGAAAGTGCATGCAGGTGTCCACAGAACATCTAGTCAGCTTAACAAAAGCTTCAAATCTGCACATTTCTGAGCCATTTCTGATGCCATCCTCAGACCAGTCTGTTTGTTTCTCAGGTGGATGTGATATTTGAAGCAGCTCCCTGGGATAGTTGTCAGTCATCGTGGATTCCTGAGGCCTGTCTCCATAGCAACCTGCTCCTCCTCCTGAGCCGTGCTGCCAGCTCCCTCTCTCTGCCACGCGACCGGCCCCTCCTCATCCTCCTGCCCAAATCACCAGATCAGAGCGCCCGTTGGAATGGACACCGAGTCGACCCACTCCGGCTACTCCTACCACTCCAGCCGCTCTGGGAGATCAAACCGACATGGGTGCGTTCCCTGTGTATCCACCCTGTCTCCCGCCTCAGACCTTGTTACATGTGTGTTATGGGTTGATGAATAAGGTGAGAGACAGAAACAGAGATAGCTCGAGCTCAGGAGATTGAGTTGGGCAGAGATTGTGGATTAGGGTCGTCACAGCTGAGTGGTTCTGACCTTTTCAGCGATTGACTCAGTTGCCTTTAGAAAGAATGGATTCATTTTATCCTCATCCTGATCAATCCCAAGGCCTTTGACTGTCTGTTTCCCACCATTTTTTGAGACACATTTATTTGTAAAAAAAAATCACATCTGAATTTTTCATTCTCTTTATTCTCACATGTTTATGATAGCACTCTCCATCTTGTTTTCCAGCGATCGAAGTCGCGAAAGACACAAAGTCAGCAGCAGCAAAGACAGCAGTCGCTCCGAGAGATCTGTGGTCATCAACCCGCCCGACTTGCCGTCCCAGGACTCCCCGGTTCACAACGACGAGCCGCTGCCCGGAGACCCGTCCCCAGCAGCGGATCACGGAGAAGAGGCCCAGGTATTATTCCTCCTGGCTGAAAACCGGCATAGCTTTAAACCAACATAGCTTGGTTATATGAAGGCATGCGGGACATTTCTGTTCACTCTGAAATTGTCTCAGCAGTAATCACATTAGTTTGGGATAAATCCGCTAATCCTTGTATGAACTTTGCATCCCAATTTTATAAAACTCACGCTCCCTCACAGCTGCCTCATATACAACAACAATAGTGACACAAGATCAAATAGGTGGAGGGATTAGCGTCGCTCTTGTATGCCTTGATTGGTTTAGAGTCAATGCTGTCACATCTGAAGTCAGTTGACTGAACCTATTTTCTGAAACATTTCAAGCAAAACATGTTATTTGTTTTTAAAAGAAATTGCTTCATGTTTGTTTCCCAGGATCGTTTTTGGTGCTCATTCCATTCCTGTGTGGGACTTTACTGGTTTTAGCGAAGCACAAAACCTGGAAACAGCCAGCCCCTGCTCCTAAAAGCCACTTCCTTTTGGCTTTATTATCCTTGTGACACTGCCAGACACATTCCCGCTGCACTACAATGTCAGCGTGTTGTTCTTACATGTCAGTTTACAGATGTTTCCTAGAATTCCTGACTATAGAAGAAAGAGGGGAATGATGGATCAGCCCAGGAATACCTTGAAGGTTTATCTTTATGCGGTTTTTTCAGGATCAATATTCATTAGGTGACAAAACTGTTCAGATCCTTCTTTGTCATGTGTGGAAAATAAAGATATCCACGTATGCCAAGATGTCTGACCTATTTTGCCATCTCTGTTTGGTCGTTTTTCTGGCGGGAAAGAAACATTCCGTAAATTCCCCTCTGGCGTGTGATTGTCGCTTGCGTCTTGCGTTCTTTGTCGGCAGTGTAAGGTAATCTGCCATTGTGCTTCGTTTGCTCGCCACAAAAAAATGTGACCAAATGGCACCGCGGCTCCACCATACCCAGTCCACTCTGGCCTGTGTTTGGAGCTGGCAGAGCTGCTGTAACACTAACTGGTCTCCAGTGCAGAGATATCTGCTCAGAGACTGGGATTAGCTGTAGTTTCCAGCCAAATACCCTTTTGGGGAAACTGATATGAATAATCCTCTGTGTTTACATGTAGGACGTAAAGATACACTCTTAAAGCAGAGAGAGAGAGAGAGAGAGAGAGAGAGAGAGAGAGAGAGAGAGAGAGAGAGAGAGAGAGAGAGAGAGAGAGAGAGAGAGAGAGAGAGAGAGAGAGAGAGAGAGAGAGAGAGAGAGAGAGAGAGAGAGAGAGAGAGAGAGAGAGAGAGAGAGAGAGAGAGAGAGTGAGTCACAGAGAGTCTGTCACTGAAACTATCGCTGCTGCTTTGTGAGTGAGTTTGTGCCAGAAGGGAGCAGCTTCAGTTTCCTGACAGTGTTAACTCAAGCAACACCAAAGCATATGTTACTGGTTTCTGTGTTTCACTTCTCTGGTTTGAGCAGACACCTTAACTACGTCTTAACCAAGCATGTCCAAAGTGCTGCCCGGGGGCCGTTTGCAGCCCTTGGAGTGATTTTGTGCAGCCTTCACTTGCATTTCTTGAATTTTTTCCTCCAGCAGGATGTCGACTCAGATTATTGTTTTTTAAAATAAAAATTTATTTTTGTCTTTTAATACTTTTAGGCCTCTTTTGAGCAGTGAATATGTTCTGGAACAGTTTGGACTGACTCAGATCGTACCGTTCTTACAGAAGCTTCAGTGTCTCACATGCCTAATCATGCCAGATTCTACCAAACGTTTTGTGGGGTACCCCAAGGCCCTGTTTTGGGTCAACTTTAGTTTTGACTGTGTTTGCTCACTTGGTCTTTTTTTTTTTTTGTATTTGGCCAGAACATTTCATAGATCACACACAATGGAAGAGGGGAAATTAAAATAAAAACTACGAAAATAGAAACTAGTCATACACACAGTTTATTCTTCCTCGTTTAAAAATACAACAAAACAAGACAAGCCGATACACTTACACGTAGTGTTAGGCTAAAAAGGATAGAGGCTAAAGTATAACGTCTACCTGTTACATTTACCAGATATTTTCATTGTCTTAAGACTCCTATCAGACAGGCAACGTCTTTGCCAACAGCTAAGCAAAGTAAAATAAACACTGAACTTTCCTGTACTTGGTACTTAGAGTATTACATTTGAAAACCTTTTTGAATGTTTTCAACAAGCACAACTTTTCCAAACAGTCTTCGAGGCTATTCTATGTCACTTCTCTAAGAGACACATCTTTTTTATTACTCCTAATATTTTTATTTTAAACATTCCAGTTCCTCGTAAACTGTACCCACCTTTTCTATATTCAAACGTCTGTTGGATATAGGCTGGAAGATCAGCATGATGTACCTGATACACAACGACCACAGTATACAGATCAACGATATCACAGAACTTTAATATTCTTAAAGATACGGTTAGAGAGTGCATATGGTTATTGTGATTCATGATGCAGTAATAATGTGGGGTCAAAGTTTGCTCTGTAATTATTTCCCCATATTTCTACCTCATATGTTAGATAAGGAAGGATAATGAATGCAAAATCTTTGTATAGCACTTTGTTATGTTCTAGTGATGGGTGCTACATAAATAAACTTAATTTACTTATAAAAATAGTAAATGTTGGAAACCTAGTTTATTCTCTCAGGCCTTTCTGCATGGTTAATAAATCACATAAATTAAGTCATAAGAACTGATTGACGGCTGAATATTCTCTATATTTATGAGTAAAGAAGAGCGAGATCTAGACCAGGCATTGGAATGGCCTTTTTTAACCTTTTCTCTGAATAGACACACTGAAACGTTATCTTGAAATGTAATATAAAACCAGATTACACAATCAAAAAGGAGTTGTAAGACTTTTTGATGATGGAATCATCCAGATTTTAATCCATATTCACCCTCTGAAAAAAAAATGGTGCATTATTCTCTGCTTCATTAATTCTTTCATGTTCCCTCTTCTGCAGAATTTAATGTAAATATCAGTTTGAATTGGAGCAGCACTGGGCCTTAACATTATTCGACAGTAATGTATTACCTGAGTCAATGATCCACTTTTCTGTGTGGATCAAGACAGAGACACTTGTCTTAAAATCCTTCACACTGTAATTATTTTCTAGATTTTTATCTGTGGTGATTGGTTTAATGAATAGTAATACGTTTGCACATTAAAGGGAACCAATGTTGCAGGTCGACCTCTAGTTGAATTATCAGACAGGATTAAATCCCTCTGATCTCCACACCTCTCTGACCTTCCCTGTCTCTTTTACTGCATCTGTATTGCACTTTGACCACCTCCTTCCCCCTCTCCGACTTTTCTTCCCTCCTTTTTTTCATGCTCATTCATCTTCTGGCTCCCGTTGGCATCCCCTCCTCCAACGAGGCTGAGTTAATTGGCTGTTAACGGCGGCGGAGGATAGAATCTGGGCTCATTTTCCTGCAATGCTGACTTCAAATGTTATCTTCCAGCTACTACCAGCATTGCTCTCTGAACTGGTTTATTTTAACCCCTTAATGACCAGGAATGAGCCGGAATACGGTACTCGAGCTCCAGACGGGTGAGCGCTAATATGAGCGTCTCTTGTCTGGTATCCCAGCAGTCAGGGCGATCTTTGATGTCCTTTAGGATGTGTGTGTGTGTGTGTGTGTGTGTGTGTGTGTGTGTGTGTGTGTGTGTGTGTGTGTGTGTGTGTGTGTGTGTGTGTGTGTGTGTGTGTGTGTGTGTGTGTGTGTGTGTGTGTGTGTGTGTGTGTGTGTGAAGGCGTATCTGTTCCATGTGTCATTTTTCCTTCCTTCATCCATCTCTCTGCAGCTGTGGCTGCTGTGATTGGTTTTTTGGCACACAGCACGAGGACAATGAATGACTAATTAGCTGTCTGAATTAATGACAGTCAAACAATAAAACAAATTCCCTTCTTCTTCCTGACTTCCTGCAAATGCATTCTGCTCATGTCTCTTTGTTGGGGTTTATTAATGCTTAAAATAAACTCCAATAATAGGGAAGAGGCTGTAATTTGAAATGATGGGCATAAGAAGCTGCAGCTTTTGTTGTTGTGACTCAGGCTTAACTTTTCTTGAACAGCTCAACTTATTCTGTCATCCTGCAATACTTGGACTGGATTTTTAAGGTTTGGCATAATGATACAACCCCCTAAATTATTTCTAAAGTCTCTAAATAGAATGTGCTTTGTGCAATGCACATAAAACACAACATGTTCATGAGTAAGAAGGGTGTAAGTGAGGTAAAGGGTTTGGTTTATCCCCATTTATCTGATGTTGCTGTACAGTTTTGCATAGATTAGATTAAAGGTTGTTCTACATCAGTCTGAAATAATAAATCCAATAACCTCTTAAAAAACATTCAAATATTCAGCGTTTAGAAGGTTTAAGCTTAGAGCTAATGTACACTAAATTTTAAACTGCATTGATCAAGTCACAGTGATGTCACAGGCTACCAACAATGCTTTGCAAGAATATGCTCTATATGTCTTGTGCAAACAAAACAGCAATTGTGTGATAAAAGTCATTATTTAGAGAATTTTTAATATCACAATACATCGTATAATTTCCCCTGCATTGTGATACATATTTTATCACCCCACACTTATAGAAGCCATAAATTATTCAGTCTTAGTACTGATCTCATTTTAGCAATTTTTTGTTTAATATGAAGATTTTTGTGTGTTTTAGACATATTTTTGTGTACATTTTTGACAAAATGTTAACATATGAACAACAAATGGAAGTTAAAACTAAACTTCCAAATGTAGGCTTTGGCCAAAAGTCCTGAAATCCTTTTTTCCTTTCAGGATGATAACTGGGGAGAAACCACCACCGCCGTGACAGGGACGTCAGAACTCAGTGTTTCCCAGGAGGAGGTTGTCGGCCTGGGGAAGGAGATACAGGATCGTACTCAGAGCTTCCGCCGCTATCTCCCTGTGGTTGTTGGCTCGTGTGTGGGGCTACTGGTTCTGGCAACGCCCCTGGTCTTCCTGCTCCTTCCAGTAGTAATGTGGTCTGATAGACTCCAGACCTGTGGAGCAGCCTGCGAGGGCCTCTTCCTCTCTATCTCTTTTAAGATCCTCATGCTCCTGGTTGCTATTTGGGCCTTGTTCCTGAGACCAGGCCAGGCCTGCTTGCCAAGGGTGTGTGTGTATCGTGCCTTCCTCACCACACTCACACTCCTGCTCACCATGTCTTACTGGCTCTTCTATGGGGTCCGGATCCTTGATGCGCAGGTGGGTTTTCTTGTAAGTAGTTTGATGCTGCTGGAAAACATTTATTTCCCCATCTCCTTTGGTGTGGTCTAACAGGATGAGGACTACCATGGTATCGTCCAGTTTGCCGTGTCCCTGGTGGACTCCCAGCTGTTCGTTCACTACCTGGCGGTGGTTCTGTTGGAGCTCCGCCACCTCCGGCCCTGCTACAGCGTGTGCGTCATTCGCTCCACAGACGGAGAGATGCGCCACTACAACATGGGGCAGCTCAGGTGTGCCTGCGGAAATGCAAAAATTCCTTCCCACAATGTCACATGTGAATTTGACCTTTTTTGGGAGTCGCTGGCGGTTTGCCACACTCTTCCTGCTGAAGTATGTGTGTAATTGGAGGCTCATGTCCACAGGGAAGATTGGCAGAGGCTGTAATCGAGTTACCCCAGAGCCTCCTCCAAGCTGAAGATTTTCCAAGAGTTTGGGGGAGGGATGAGAAAATGCCAGGCTTAGCTTTCGTTTAATGAATGTCTCGCTTTGTTCCGTTTTTGCAATAATACTACACATCTACTAGATCTGTGTTTATGTAAGATTAATGTCCTTTAAATGCGAAAGGTTAATATCAGTTTTCTGTTCGGTCTTTGGGGAAAAGTGGTAAAAACAAATGTCCTGGCATTTAATCTGTCGAGTTGAGGTCACGGTCAGACAGCTGTACAAGGAAGTGATAAGAGAAATCATCCCTTTACAAAAAGCAACATAACGGAATCAAAGCCGTACTGTTGGGGGATTCGAGAACATTATTAACTCTTATCCCTTATAAATCAGCTGTAATTGTAAACTAATCTTTTCTCTCTCTCTCTCTCGTGTCCATCAGCATTCAAAGAGCCGCATTGTCCATTTTGGAGTATTACTACAGAGACTTTCCTCTTCACAACCCAGCCCTTCTCTCTGCCTCCAAGCACCGAGCTGCCAAACACCTGGCTGGGTTAAAGGTCTACAACGTAGATGGTCAGTCACCTCAGACTCTTGTAATTTCCCGCAATGCCATGTAATTGTTTTGTGTGTGTATTTGGGTGTGGGTGTGTGTGTGTGTGTTTATGGCCCTCTTTGTAGTCTGCCGCCTAAGGCAGATGTGTATTTTTGCATGTCTAGATGGGTTTTAATGAAACTGTCAAAAAACAATCACAGGATGTACATCTATAACTGATTAAATTCTGCAGTCATTCCAAATCCAGATGGTCGTCACATCTAATAACTTCATCAAGCACAAAATGGCTTCAGGACAGTCGATTTCATAGATTTCTAGCCTAAGTTTGGTGTACTTGTAGTCTTGAGTTCTCTCTAACACGAACAACAGGCAATAAATATTCAAGGTTTGACCATAGCAGATGTAACTAAATCATATAATACTGAGGATGTTCGATATTATCGGCTGATGTTGGCATTAAAATGTAATAATGGAGATTATCAGTGTCGATTTTTACTTTTTTACTGAAAGAAATTTTTCATACCATGCCCATATTATATGCAAATTTGTTCTCTGCATTTGACCCATCCCCGTGAGGAGCAGCAGTGGCCGCGTTTGGGAACCATTTGGTGATTTAACCCCCAATCTAACCCCTTAATGCTGAGGGTCAAGCAGGGAGACACCGGGTCTGATTTTTGAAGTCTCTGTTATGACCTGAATGTAGATTTGAACCCATGATCTCCCAATTATTATACATCAAACTGTTCAGCTACTTCCCCTCTCACTCGAAATGTCAAACAATGTCAGATGCAGGGTTTAGTTTTTAAGATATTTTTGCTTGTCTAGCACAACGGACCTTCCCAAAATTGAAGCAGTTGTCATATTTTTATAGATAATGATTAAAGTTTAATTGTGAAAAATAAGAGATATGTGATGTTAGCTGATTGAATTATTTCGTTTTTCTCTTCTTACGAGGGGGACCCCGCATTGGTTTCAATTAATGTTTGTATCTGAAATTAAGAGTTAGACTATTTCATCGGCTATCAGTAAAAAAGTAAATAAATAAAAACGCTGTGATCAAACATCTCTATAAATAATTATCTGATGTTAAAACGCTGGATTGATTCTTAGAAACAAAAATTATGTCCCAGTTTAGCTCTCCTAATAATCCAAAATGCATGTTGCATCATGCCACAGTGCCATAATCCCGTTTATATGTTGCCTCTCAGCATCCGTGTGTAGCCTGTATCCCACTACTCTTTTCTGCGGTCAGAAAGATCTCCCATTGCTCATCCATTAATCCTCCTCCTGCTGCAGAAAACTGTGGATTTCTGGATCCATTGCAAGGCTGTAGTAAGGGATGTGGTGTCCTCACATTTCCCATGCAGCCCATCTCTTTCCCTATCATTGTGCAACCGAAAGGCCTCAAGGGGCCCGCAGAATTCCAAGTCTTAAATAATTCATCAGAGTAACGCTCATTTCTCACATTCTCCCACATCTCTGCTTCCTCCTGCTCGGCCTGTCTCTAGCTCCTTCTGTTCAGTTCAGGGTTTTCTTTATATATTTTTTCTTCCTTGACAACCCCCACACACACTCCTCTTTCTTCCCCATTCATTCATCCACGGGCACTGCTCTTATTATAGCAGGAGTATGTAGGCCAGGAGGTAAAGAGGCTGATGTTTGCTCATTCCTTTCAGTAGAAAACATTTACAGTTCTTGCTTAGTTGTTGCCACGCCCATTTAGGGCAATTGCATTCAGAATCAGCTTCTCCTCAGCATGTTCACATGCATAAACACGCACTTATGCCAATCAGATTATTAGTGATTAATGTCCTCACCTGACCTGCAGCGTTAAGTCTTTATAACGGTACCGATCCTCATGCACATGCATCAAATCCCCCTTCTGAAAGCCCAGGGAGCTTTAATATTCAGCTGCAGACGTTCTCTTTAGTTTCACGGCGGTTTACGCAAACCTAAATTCAAACATGAACCATTGCCTTTGATGTGTAAAATCCTGCCACACCCAGGTATGACGGTTTCTGCTGTGTTCCTTAAAGAAACATTACCTAATTTCTTTTGCTATAAATAAAATGCCCTGTGCCTGAATGCCTGAGATATGTAACAATAAACAGTCCTCTATTGTTTGTAAAACAAAAGGAGGAACATCAGAGCTCTTCAGCGAGTCCTTCTACACTCCTTCATCACTGTTGGGTGGCTGCGGAGTTAGTCGCTGCTTTCCTTCAACATAAATTGATATAATCAGTTTACCTTTGTTCCTTTCCTCTGGTGCAGCCCCAGGGAGCACAGCAGCCGCCCAGGCTAGTGATGGGAACCAGTCGCGGGCCACGGTCACACCTGCCACCAAACGCAAAGACAATGCACACAACGAGCTGTACTACGAAGAGGCCGACTATGAGAGAAGAGTCCGCAAACGCAGAGCAAGGTGGGTGAAATCACCTGTGCTTGCAGACATACATGAGGGAGGATATAATTAATGCTGAGTGAGAACTGACTGCTGCTGTGTGTCAGGCTGGTGGTGGCTGTGGAGGAGGCCTTCACACATGTCCGACGCATGAAGAAAGAAGACGAGAATGCCACACCCTCCGACATCATGGACATCCGGGAAGCAGCGCTGGCCATTTTTCCTTCTATGGCTCGCGCCTTGCAGAAGTACCTCCGCACCACCAAGAGGCAGCACTGCCACAGCATGGAAAGCATCCAGAAGCACCTGGCCTTTTGTCTCGTCAATAACATGAGCCCAAAGGTCAGTGTAGCATCTGCTATGGGTTGGTGTTCATTAAGAATGTCCTAGAAAGAAGTGCATTTACAAATGGAACCTGCTCTTTGAGCCTCTATAAAGCATGTGAAACCTTGTTGGGGCTCAGAATGGCCCAGGAGCCCTGATTAATGGCCAAATACAACCGTCCATAGTGGCTAGCTGGCCGGTGGTAGAGAGTTTGCAGACAAATTAGGAAGAAGACATGGACCGGATCTCAAGATTTGAATCTATCTGGCATTAATTCAAAGTCTGGAAATTCCCATTCCCTGGAACAAGAGACGGGGTGTGAGTGGTGCTCCACCATTCTTCCTCTCCTTTAACAAGGGTGTTAGCAGTAACTCAGGCTAGATTTAGCAGAAGGGCAGGCTAGTGTTAGCATGTGCTGCAGTTAGCATTACCGCGACTAACCTTTATATATTGCTGACATTGACATGGGTTGGGACATGCAGATATAAGGCATTGTGTCTACGCTAATGACATGTTAAACTAGCTTTTCTCAGAACAGACAGTTTTCTGTGGCCTTTAAAATAATACTAATTTACATAGGAAAGCAGGCCTTGTAAGTCCTACTGGGGGGTGCTCTGGTGTGCCTGTTTCAGGAGCTAGAAGTGAGCCAGGTCAGAGTTCAGCTGAACACGGCAGGATTTGTAGTCTTATTTACAGATATTTGGATATCTCACTTCAGATTGGCTAACAGCAATGTAACTCTACCACTGAGTCTGTTTGCTTTGAAACGTTCAATTCAATTCCATTCAAGTTTATTTATATAGCGCCAAATCACGACAAGAGTCGTCTCAAGGCACTTCACATAATAAACATTCCAATTCACAGTTCATTAAGCCAATCAGAAATAATGTTTCCTATATAAGGAACCCAGCAAATTGCATCAAGTCACTGACTAGTGTCAGTGACTATACAGCAATCCTCATACTAAGCAAGCATGCAGCGACAGTGGAGAGGAAAACTCCCTTTTAACAGGAAGAAACCTCCAGAGAATCCTGGCTCAGTATAAGCAGCCATCCTCCACAACTCACTGGGGATCGAGAAGACAGAGCAGGCAGACAAAGACACACACACACACACACACACACACACACACACACACACACACACACGTAATGTGTCTATAGTTATATTGTGATGTCTTAGTAAATATTGTATTTGGTGAAAGATAAACTTTATTGTATTTATTCTAGTGGATCTATAATTAAACGGATAAACTAGTTGATGTTTTATCTCCCCAAAAAACAAACCTGTAGGAGTTCTGCCATGTTATGGTGTTGCTAACGCTAGTGGTTAGCTTCTGCTAGCCAAGACTTTCTCTGCTGTTTCCTGGAAGCTAAAATGACAGCCTTCCCTGTCTCGAACCAAGATGGTCTCATAGATCTGTCAGGCTTTTCAAATCCTAAAGTTTCACCTTCCATTTTCTATCAGAAGCTAATGCTAACTATTTTCATGTTCAGCTTGCCTTAACCTCTCAGATTGGCCGACTATAATCAGAAATAATCATTTAAAAATGGTTTTTCAGTGAAGTATCACTTTAAACTCTAGGACCCCTTTAATGTAACATGATGTGAAACATAATAATTTAATGTTGAGATCTGAAATCCCAAAAGCGCAGACACCTTTTAATAATATTTTGTTCTGTGTGCAGGCTTTCCTGGAGGCCTATCTGGCTCCGGGTCCAACCCTCCAGTACGGCCCTGAGCGCTGGATGGCTGACCAGTGGACTTTGATCAGCGAGGCTTCTGTCACCAGTGGCATTAAAGACGGCTCAGAGTTCCTGCTGAAGTGTCTTGATTTCAGCTTAGCCATCACAGTCAAGAGCATCCCCTACATCAGTCTGACTGAGGAGTACATCGACCCCAAGTCACATAAGTTTATACTACTGCTCCAGTCAGAAACCTCTGTTTAGTCACAGCTGACCAGGTTCTGCTCTTCAGGACGTACCGGACTGTTAAAAGTTTTCTGACAGAAATTTTTTATTAAAAACTTTTGTACTGTTTTTTGTAATTAGCTGTCTCATAAATGGTATCTTGTCTTTGTGACGGGAAACTTTAAAGATGATCAGTAGTGGGAAACAAAGGGAAAGATGCTTGAACCTCTTTGTGTGTGTGTGTGTGTGTGTGTGTGTGTGTGTGTGTGTGTGTGTGTGTGTGTGTGTGTGTGTGTGTGTGTGTGTGTGTGTGTGTGTGTGTGTGTGTGTGTGTGTGTGTGTGTGTGTGTGTGTGTGTGTGTGTGTGTGTGTGTGAACAATTACAAGGCACATTCCTCTATGCAGAACTGATGACCCTCCTTTGGTTGCATAAGTCTTTTTGTGCCTGTTGTAGAAAAATTAGGACAATTATGTACTTTTAAAATGCTAAACTGCACTTCCAAGTGCTTTTGCTTGCTGAACTGATATGAAGCATACCCTTTTCTCTAGAGAAATTTTAAATGTAGCATTTTTTTTATTTATAATCGTCCTGTATTGCATATGTGTGTACAGTATTTATGTGTAAATACACTTTAACCCAAATGTCTTTTATACCAAATTATATTATTATTTGAAAGACTTTTTTCATCCAATCTAAGATTTTTTTATCTTGTCTCTAACAGAATTTCATCACTAATCCTAATGCACGTCCCTAAATGAAACAACCTTTTCTGGCACATTTAAAAAAAATGTCATGACATACTTTTACAATTCCCACTGAAAAATTCATAATGTGTACTCTCATGCTGGCAAATGTTTAAGCAAGTGTTGAAAATTAATAATTAAATTAGGATTTCTTCATGTCAATATTCCTGCTGTCAGTTTTTGTGTGAACCTCTGCTGCCACCTATCGGTCACAACCGGAACTGTCCTCCAGATGTCTGTTTATCAAGCCACCATTGATCTTTGTGGGTTTGTTTGTTTACTCTTTGTATTTATGAGAATTGTTGTCTTGTATATTTTGGCAGTTCTGTTTAGTAGTGTTGTTGGTTGTAAATACCTTTCTAACTGCACACATGCCTTAGTTATACTTTATATATAGGGTCTGCTCAGCATGTACTTACAAGTGTGTGTGTGTGTGTGTGTGTGTGTGTGTGCGTGCGTGCGTGTGTGTGTGTGTGTCTGTGTGGTGTATGATGGAGATGTTGGTTATTATCTTTTTATACCACAAAATACATCAAACAACTGAGACAAAGTTTGCAAAATAAAATAAAAATAAACATTTGCATTGACTTAAGTAATTTTTTTTGTGTGTATGTACATGTAATCCTTTCAGTATTTACTATTTTAATAATATTTTTTGGATGAATGAACCAAAATGACAGAGACTTTAGATCAAGGCTGGTGTAAAACTTCACAGAAGATGGAATTTATTGTTTAGAACAATTTTTAAAACCTTAAATTCAAACACTGAAAAATAATTTGAAGACAAAATGTATCTTTTTGATCATCTTGGGTTTTTAATTTTCTTGCCCTGTGAGCAGAGAGACAGAAATATTTAGCTTTTTTACTGAGATTCCTGCTGTTGAAGCACATAACCCAGTAACACATCACAATTCTAAGATCTTATTGTATGTTTTACTCCCATAAGTATCCACAGCAGAGTTAAATCAGCACTTGTTATGGAAAAATTCCAAACTTAATCTGTTTCATTCATGCATTTATCTGTTGATGTTCAGTTGCATGACAAAAAAATGGCTTATCAGAAAAAGCTGACATATCCAGCAACATCTGGATCTGCAATGAGCAAATAGGTTGGTTACTTTTTCCTATTTGTCTTAATCTCCATTACCAAATGTGATATTTTGTTTTGAAAATATGAAATTAATTGTTATAAATTGGTGTACAAAGTTATTGAAACACAAAAAATTAAAAACAAATTATGCATTGATGGAGCTGTTTTTGATGCTATGACTGGGATTGCATCATTGGATGAATAAGTAAGTCCTTCATTGTGAACAGTTCCAAGATTACAGATTTTATTTTAATTTAAAATCCCAAATTACATGAAAGGTTTATTTACAGAGTCAAATAAGACTGTAATGGATCTTAAGATTTCAAAATTGTTTTAGATTATCAGCAGGAACATATTTAGTTCATCCATGCTTTCGTTCTTTTTTAAACACAGAAACAGTTTTGTTTACCTGTAGGTAGCTACAAACAGGTAAACAAAACTGTTTCTGTGTTTAAAAAAGAACGAAAGCATGGATTTACAAAGACACAGCAAGAACACACCTAAGATATTTAGTTCATGTATCAATGAATTTTAATTATTGAGACATTTTTGTACTTAACAGTAAAGGTACTGAATTGTTGTTTACACTCTTATTCATCATCATCATCATCATCATCATCATCGTCGTCGTCGTCATCGTCTTCATCATCAATGTCGTCATCATCACCATCGTCATCATCATCGTCATCATCATCATCATCTTCAGTGTTTACTTTGCCAGAGAGGACATCCTCGATCCAGTCCTCTAGCTCCCGGGCCGTGGGCAAATCTTCCTCATCTGCAATTTCCATCCACACGCTGTCCGCCTGTATACACACACACACCACAGACACACACAGATCAGATTTGTAACAAAATGTCTTTATCTTCAATAGGTTGCTCAAGTCTTACATCTGTGACATTGATGACTCCAATCTGTGGCCTGAACAGATCCACCTTGAAGGTCTTCTCCCAGTAGGGAATCAGCTAAAAATGGGTCAACAACAATGAATACAGCATCAGATCTGGACCAAAACATCTCTAATCACTTTGTTTTTAACTTTGCTGAGTACAGCTCACCAGAGGGAAGTCATCGGGATCGATCCAGATGATGCTGAGGTCAGGAAGGTGAGTGTTGTCCCTAGCAACTTCCTTCAGGATCTCTAAAAACTCATAGCCATCTGGAAGACATGAACCTCTTTTAAAATCACTTACATTAATTTCTTTGTAGCTTCATGTGCATTTGAAACAGAGGAGTGACTGCAAATTATTACAAATCCCCTTTAAACCAATTGTTCACTCATTCTTACCAGGGTCCTCCTCTTCTGCAAAGGCCACAATGTGGATGCCCTCAATGTCGTCCTCCTGAAACAAAAAAATATCAAAGCCTGCTGGAAAAACAGCAGTCAGATCTGAATGTTCTTCACTGACCCAGGTCTCAAACATATCCTCGGCACGCAGCTTTCTCAGGGTCGGCCTGTTGTCAGAGAGAAAACAAAAGTTCAGATGTTTATGGTGATCTCAATTCTTGTGATTGAAAAAAATGAAAAAGGACAGAAGTTGTTCACCGTCTGTGTTTGGTGATGAATTCCACTAGCTCCTCCTCAGAGTGAGGCTTTCCTGGCATGGTTACCGGCTCATCCATGAAGGGCTCATAGAAATCGACCTCATTCAGCTTCAGAGTCAGCTCTTTGGCCACCTGAAGCAGCAGAGATGCGTCGTTCAGGACCAATTATATCTCTGCAGCATCGTGCTCTTGTTGGTCACTTACAGATTTCTCAAAAGTGGCAAAAAATTTGATGTAGGGCTGAAAGTGCTCTGCAGCTTCATGAAACGCTTCAAAATCTAAAAAAATATATATATACATGGAGAAGAAATTGATTTTATGATGCACAAAACATTTCTTGGTCATGGATTATTTTGTCCTCTCGTTAGCTTGTCAGGGAGTGGAAAAAGCTCAACTTTGACCTTTGTGCTCCCTACAGATGGTCAGATGGGATGGATCTGCTGCTCGGTGCAAGCCAGCTTCTTCAAAGCATGTTAGAGGGCAGCTGTGCTAGCAGCAGTGGTAAAATTGGATCTGTAAATCCATGGAGATGAAGGACACAGGACGTCCACAGCAGAGGCATCCAGCAAACAATCAGACGAACTAAACTTACGCTCTGAGTCTTCGCTCTTAAAGTAACCAACGACCCGAATGTCTTCTTCCATTCTGTCAAAGGCTTTCAGCTCCAGGGCATTCTCTATAATCTCTACTGGGTCCTCCAACAGCTGTAGAGAGAGAGAGAGAGAGAGAGAGAGAGAGAGAGAGAGAGAGAGAGAGAGAGAGAGAGAGAGAGAGAGAGAGAGAGAGAGAGAGAGAGAGGGAGAGAGAGAGAGAGAGACGATTGGATGGTGATGGTGTGACCTTTTACCTCTGACAAGACTGGTGTTGATTACAGCTAACAGCTGGAACACATCGACTTACATCCAACAGGAACTCCACCAGAGTGTTGGCAGATAGCAAGCCATCAAATTCAATCACCCGGTCAGCCTTGAAAACATACACACTTCCCTCCTCCTCCAGGCCTGCAAGAAGGAAAATACTGTGTTATGAGATTATTTGGGTAAACTGCTCTGATTCATAAAGCAATAGTTCACCCATTTAGAAGGAACATCATCATACTTCTGACAAATAAATTAAAGCTAGGGTACGTAGTTTTAATTTTTTTTAAATATTCATTCATAATTTATGAATACACATAATCCAGCCTGTTCTTCTGATAACGACCCAGATTCCTTAACTTCTCAGTTTAACGAGCACTGCCTCTCCATTCTGGACAACATCTTGTCAGAACCAGATCAGTTCCTCAGCGTTTGTGGAAGAAAACCCATCTCCACGTCCATCTGCTGCACCTAAAGGATCTTCTGACATCCTTTAACTCTGCAGTCAGAGACGCTAGGGTTTCCTATTTCTCCAACCTGGTGTCCCAGAGCAAAGGGAACCCCAAGGTGCTGTTTAACACCATCAGCAGCATTGTCTCTCCTGCCTCTCCTACAGCCTCCATCCACTCTGTTGCAGACTGTGAGAACTTTCTGTTTTTCTTTGTGGACAAAGTCAATAAGCTTAGATCTAGCATCTCTCCTTCAGCCTTATCGCTGCCTCTCCCAACTCCAACCAGGCCCATCATCCTAGATAGCTTTGCTCCTGTTTCTTTGCCTGAGTTAACCAAACTAGTTAACTCTATGAAGACCTCTGCACGCCCCCTCGACATCTTACCTTCATCTTTGTTTAAAAGTGCTTTTCAGTCCATCGGTCCCAGCTTGCTATCTATAATTAATGCTTCTCTGGTTTCTGGTCAGGTCCCTGCTTACTTTAAGACTGCTGTAATCCACCCGCTTCTTAAAAAACCGAGTCTTGACCCCTCTCTCCATAGCAGCTTCAGACCCATCTCTAAACTTCCGTTCATCTACAAGATGTTGGAAAAGGTTGTGGCTAAACAACTCACAGCTGCTCTTGATGAACATAACATCTATGATAGCTTCCAGTCAGGTTTTCATAGAGCTCATTCTACTGAAACAGCTCTTCTTAGGGTCTCTAATGACCTCCTGACTCACAGTGATGCAGGGGACTGTTCTGTTCTGGTCCTGCTGGACCTGACTGCAGCCTTTGACACTGTTGACCATCACCTGCTACTGGAGAGGCTGAGAGACTGGGTAGGCCTATCAGGATCTGCTCTGGATTGGTTCTCCTCTTATCTCTCTGAGCGCTCCTTTTCTGTGGCCGTCTCCAAGTTTAGGTCCTCTACCACCTCTCTTACCCATGGTATCCCACAAAGTTCTGTGCTGGGGCCTCTGCTCTTCCTCCTCTATCTGCTTCCTCTTCAGCACATCCTGAGCTCCTTCAAAGGAATCTCCTACCATCTTTATGCAGATGACATCCAACTGTACATCTCCTTTAAACTCCATGAGATGTCTAAGCTGCAGCTGTTACACACCTGCTTAGACTATCGAAACCTGGGTGGCTGGGAGCTTTCTTCAGCTGAATGAAGATGAGACTGAGATCCTCATCTGTCCCCCAGACAAGCTGGTTCCCAAAGTCAGAGACTCTCTTGGTCAGCTTGCTTCTCACACCAAACCTTCTGTCAGGAATCTTGGCATGACCTTTGACCCAGCTCTCACCCTGGATTCTCATGTCAGTTCTCTTGTTCACTCTTCCTTCTTCCATCTCAGGAACGTTGCAATTCTTTTTTATATTTTTACATTTTTTGTTTTTGTGAAGCACCTCGTGATTTTTATCTTGAGAGGCGCTATAGAAATGATATTTTCTTCTTCTTCTTCTTCTTCTTCTTCTTCTTCTTCTTCTTCTTCTTCTTCTTCTTCTTCTTCTTATTTCCCTTAATTCCCTCCCTTTACATGAGCCCAGAGGTGGACCAATAGAGTTGCATGTCCACACGAAGGAGTTGTCAGTCAATGAGAATGCCCCCCAGTTCCCAGCATGCACTGGTGCACAGTCAGCTTAGCACACCTACTTAGCTTGAATGTTAACTGAACCTTCACTGGATTTATGTCAGTCTGTATACTTCAAGCTAACTGTGGAAGATGAGGGAGGGGAACAAAAAAAGGTTCATCTTTTGTGCATTGGAGCTAAGTGATTAGCATTCTACCTTATGCTACATCAGACAATTGTTTTAGCCTGTTGTGACGTTAGTAGGGATGTGCCAGCATGGTGAGTGCCATTCCTGCTGGTTTAGGTGTTTCCCTGATTGAAGTATATGATTAAAACAAGTTATTAGCAGCTCCTTCTAAGCCCCATGAAAGCTGAGAGGATAATTTAGCAGTCTGAGCAGGAGCATATCGAAAACATTTGCCCCAGCAGCCCTTTGTTAGTGTTAGCGTTGTGGCTAACACAATATTAGGAGGGGTTTTAGATGACATCACACTACGGGCCACAGCTTTAATAGTGACAGTGTTCACTTGAACTGCAAACCTTTTGTGATGTTTTAATACTTTCTAGACAAAATTTTCATTATTTTCACCAAACTGAGCATTTTTTAAGAGCTGTATCTCCTCTAGGTAGGATGTTAGCTGTTCATTGCAACCAAAGTTGCCATCCATCCTGTTAAAACCTAAATAAAATATGCAGGCGTTCACACACACTCACCTAGTTTCTTTGCAAACTTGGCATCTTTCTTTGAATCTACCATTCCAAACCCGATGTCTTTCTCTTCCATCACCTGAGCTACAAGCTGGAGCCGAGAAAGACAAATTATCAAAGTTAAAACTGCAAGATAAAGGATCACAGGTGACAAGATACAAGAGAAATATGTTCAGACTTGATATGATTTTATAGTTAGAGTTTAGACATCTAAGGAGGCAGTTGGAGAACAGAAGATTGAGAGCAGCACCATAGTGGGCAATGTGACAGAGGTGCTTGAGGGCGCAGAGATACGTTTACATAATCACCCAGCTTGAGTTGTTCTAAATATAGCCACAGTAACAATATACTGTATATAATTGTTCTGGCATTTGTTCTGTATCGTACGAATGAGATCTAGTGCTGTTGGACCCCTTCTGCTGTGGAGATGAAACATGTATAAGCACAAAGAAGCTGATATATTTTCCTTGTGATTCATAACACTTCCATAAATCAAATTTTACATGTTAAAGTGAGATTAAAGCAAAAACTATGTGAAGTTTTGATCGCCTTAACTATCAGAAAGAGATCGTCCCAAAAAACTGCTTTAAAAGACTATTTTTATTCATGGAGGAATTTCAGAAAATACTAGTGTGATGTGAGTGGTTGGATGTGATGTTGTTGATGTGGTTGGATCCAAACGCATGGCATTTTATCACTTTTACAGTTTGAAATGAAACTGCATTCATGCAATAAAACTTGAGTTTTCATCGCTTCCCTAACACGTTTCTTCATCCTGCAACTTCACCTCGAGCACCAGCTCAGTCATCTGGTGTTGTTTCTGCAGCTCCTTGCTGTCCGGCACCGGCTCGTGGTAGAACAGGCAGAGCATGCTGTACTTCTTCACGGCTCTCTTGTAGTTCTTGTCATTGATGTTGAGGACACGGTCCTTCCCGTCGTACTGTGGGAACTCCAAGCCCTTCTCGGCCGGCACTACATTCACAAAGCTCGTGCAAAGGACCAGGAAAAACCACAAAGACAGCATGGTTCAGAGTAAGACTTGGTGAGCAGAGGTCAGAAGGAAAATCCTGCTGGAGGATTTCAGAAGTACAAAGAAGTCAATCAGTGATTGCTTTGAAGCATCCCCAAAAGAGATCCAAAAACTTCTCCAGAAAAGTTCCCTTTTCCTTCTGTGATTATTCCTTCATGTCTCTTCTCTGTGGGACACAAAGGGAAAAGAGAAAAGCTGTTGGGCCAGTGAGGTTCTGACAGTGGATACCATACATAGTGCTGCTCCTCTTTCCCAACCCACCCAGAGTGGGCCCATTTTTAGGAGACCAGTTGTTTAAAAGCTAAAAATAAAGCTGCAAGTGAGAAAGGGAAATGGCAAAGGATGACTACGAGGAGCAGTGGTTGCTCCTTAATCGAGCGTTTCAGGGATGTGGAAGGAAAAGGCTTAACCTCAGAGATATGAAGGGTCAGCTAATGTGATGCATTCAAGGACCAAGAATAGTGGTCGGGATTTTAGCTTACAAGACAACGTAGAACAGGAGTACAACTCAGAATCTGCATGTCTGTGAATCTGAAACAGACGGATTTACCTCGAGAAGTTTCCAACAGCTGCTATTTAGTTGTAAGTCACCATTTTTATTAATTATCTGTCACTTGTAACTGATTTATCACTTTTTCTAATATTTAACAGCAGAGAAAACAATCCAGGTGTGTGTCGGGTATTGTTTATATTCTACTGACAGGTCAGTGGCAACTGCACGTCTATTTTGGTCTTTGTCACCTTTTCTATTTTCTGAAATGTGCTAGTGGGGCAGTTGCTCCAAATAAAGTTGTTTTACATTTTAAACCATGTGCTAAACTGTAACACGGTCATTATAACAAAACTGCAACCCATGTGATTTTGAAAACAAGGAAAAAATATGAATTATAGTTGTGTTTGATTCAAACCCTGAAACCCTAAAATAAAACATTTCCCTGTATTTTTTTTTTTTCAAATTAAAGTGATCCAAAAATGAGGGGAAAAGCGTATTTTGTACTGTTAGTTTATATATTTGAGCCCTTCATGCCAACTTTAACATTTTTGAAATGTTTCTTTTTAGGTTATTTAAGCTCTATCTCTTGGTACTTTTAAAAACTGATGTACTAGATGATCACAAAACGTTTTTCTATTGTTGAGAATCTAACATCTTACATGATTTTATCCTTTTTATACTAAACACTTGTGATTGATGGTTTTTGTTTTGTAAATGTGGCCATTACAGGTTTTCTGAATTGCTGAAACACTAAACCTGATTCTCAAAACTGACTGAGTTATTTTAAAACCAAGCAGTTAACTGACAAGTCAAGTCAAGTGTGGCAGCTGGGAAACATTTGAATCTCCTAAAAGCAAAGGAAACAAACACAAATGAGCTAACCTACTGCTTATCACAACAGCTAAGCAAACTTTAGGATGAAAATGAAAACATAAATGTTTTGATTTCTCTATTAAAACACAAGGGCGGAGATGTGGAGCAGAACATCGATCATTCGGTTAGTTCAGTTTATTTACAAAGTGTTGATTTACCACAGAGGTCATCTGAGGGTGATACACAGAAAAATGACATGCAGTCTATTTCTGTCTAACCCACTTCAATTTAAAGAGCAAGCCCCCCCCCCAAGAGTCTTACTCTACTCCCACTTCCTGTTTGAAAAATGCAACAAATTCTGTTGCCTGGCAGACCGAAAGGGCAGAGCCACGATTAAACACACACACACACGCTAACAACAACATTGTGATATCATGATGTAATAGCTAACATGATAGTGTACCTCTTAGCCAATAGAAATGGCAGATATAAATTCAAATGCAGTTTAAAGCTTCTACCTGAAGAGGTCGCAACACTGACAGTTTTAGGTAGAAATTTCAAATTTGAACTAAGATGCACTTAAGTACCAAATTATTGACATCACATGTCTACAGCAATATTAGACAATAATTTATATGATTTGTCAGAGAAAAGGTGTTTTTGTGGATGACTTGCTCTTTAAATGACGAATGTATTAATATTTCATAAGATGCAAATGTGATGGATAAACATGTTCATTCTGAGCTACAGGTTTATTTATTCTGTCTGGTCAAATATTGTATGTATTACATGCTTAAGCATTACTCTTTACATTTACAACGTGTTGGTTTGTAGTTTGGGTTCAATAGATGGTTTCAGTAGATGTAGTAACCACCCGCCACCAGTGTTGGGAGTAATGCGGTACAAAAGTAATTAATTACTGTAATGCATTGCTTTTTGCTGTAATGTGGTAATGTAAGGCATTACAGGGAAAGAAAATGGTAATATTTACTCGGTATAATTGTCAGTAACGCGGTAATTACAATGCATTTTTAAACCCAGAATCAAGATGTGTTCCTTAAAAATTCAAATTGCGGGAAACCCGAAGAAAGATCCAGTATCTGCATATATTACGTCATTTATGGACACAGCTTTGCGGGCAGAGGACGCAGCGGTACGCGGTAACGGACCGCGGTCAAGTGAGCCGTCATTTGTGAGCCGCGGTCAAGCCAGCCGTATATGGCAAGCCAAAACCGTCACAATACGCCACTTTCCCAACCCGTCTAGTTAAGAAATGGCGAAAAAAACGCTGTTTTATATGGCAAGCCAAAACCGTCACAATACGCCACTTTCCCAACCCGTCTAGTTAAGAAATGGCGAAAAAAACGCCGTTTGATGTGCCAAGACGTCGTAAAATACGGCGAAAACTCTGCCAGAACGCCGTAATTTACGCCGTTCTGAACGGTCCCGTAGAACGCCCGTAAAATACGCCGTTTTTTCCGGACATTGAACGCCGTTTTTTACGTCACCCTAATCCCAGACGCGTTCTCTGTGTGGGTGGCGTAAAATACGGCGTTTGGTACGGACATTGAACGCCGCTTTTTTCGCCGTTCTGTGACATAAAACGCCGCTTTTAACGCCACTTTGTGACAGTTTTAACGCGTTTAAAATTCAACTTTACTCTCATTTATGCAGAGCCCTCCCCATGGGTTTCTCATCCACTTAATTTAAACTCCAGTGACCCAATGAAAGACGAGGAGGTTGAGGCAGCACTAATTCATCCCAGATTCGCCGGGCTGTCGGGCTGTGCGGACTGCTGTTTTCTAATACAACTCGGCTCTGTTTCAACTAATTTCACTGTATTGAAAAAGCCTTGAAATGTAGTAATATTATCAACAATGTGTCAACATTATTATTTTTTCTGTCCACCTGTAAAAGGCAGAAACGCTGTTTCAGTCAGACCTGATGATTACTTAAAAGTGTGGCTGCCGTATCAGTCTGTCCTCGTGGCTCGTGAGTCCAGCTGAAACATCAGTGCTCTTTCTGTCCAAAACTCCATTCTTCTTAAGTTAATCCACTTTCAGTATTTACTATTGTGACAGTGTGTGCTGTCGCAACGTCCCGATTGATCATGCGCCCTGGCTACTTGGTCAAGGGAATGTTCCTTTGGCTGACTGGTTAGAGCGTATGACTCTCACCCGGGAGTCTGGGGATCTAATCCCGCCCGAGCCCTTGCTTATCCACCTGGCCACACTATTGTTTTTTTTTTTTCGTTTTTTTTTAACGACTGTTATACTTGTCTTACAGGAGCTTCTGAAGATGTTCTGTCTTGCTTCTCCATCATCACTCTCCAGCTCCTCAGACCAGCCACTCCAGAACCTTCCCAGATCCAGGATCAGAGCACTTTAATTAAAGTTTGAAACATGTCTGCTTGTTGTTCTCCTATAGAAGCCTTAAACTAGAATTTGCTAATGAGCTTTCTTGGCTAAAATATGCTCTTAAATGTTTTTATTTACATAATCAAGAAACACGTTTTTCATTGCTGCTTCACCAAGACATGACTGAAAATGTCCTCATGATCCTGAAACGCTGGTTAAAACAAATTACTTTTAACCTCTTATAAAACAAACGTGCCTGTTGATGATTATGCCACTATACTGAAGCACCTGCATACTTGCTACCGATTTGCTAACTTTCTGTAATATTTGATATTTAAGTTGAAAACATGAAATGCTGTAACACAAATTCCAAATGTTCTAGTTGAGCACTTGTTTCTACTCAACTAATCATTATTTCTGTGATTAGTCAGCTTTTTCCTTTTCAATAAACACATGGAAAAATTACAATTATCTTACTGAAAAATGGTTTAACAGTGTTGCACATGTATAATAATCTGCACTGGTTTTCACAGTTACGGCATTCTTCAAACTATAATAATAAAATAAAGTGAAACGATATTTACAATTGATTACTTCCTACTATTTACATTTTATGCATCGATACTGTAAATGGCTGTTTACTAAGGCATACAAAGTCAGTGGAATGTTCTCATACGGGTTCTTGCCTAGTAAGCAGGGGGTTGCCTCCTGTAAAAATGGAGATGATCAGCCTCATTTTGTCTTTCAGCACACTCCGTAAAGTCCTAAATTTAAAAAAATGTGGTTTGTGGGAGAGGCTCATCTACTTTCTAAGGCTAACACTTTTAAACTCCTCTTAAGCACACACTCAACTTGTTAATAACTAAAAGGATTGTTCAATACCTGCTCAAATAAACAAGGCAATTCTACAGACTCGTGGATTTGTAAGTAGCATTAATGAAGAATACAGGATCATATAGAACAGAAATATGTAGATTTACAAGCAAACTACCTGTGTACAGGCACTGACTTTGTATGCCTTAGTAAACAGCCATTTACAGTATCGATGCATAAAATGTAAATAGTAGGAACTTGAAGTAATCAATTGTAAATATCTTTTCACTTTATTTTATTATTATAGTTTGAAGAATGCCGTAACTGTGAAAACCAGTGCAGATTATTATACATGTGCAACACTGTTAAACCATTTTTCAGTAAGATAATTGTAATTTTTCCATGTGTTTATTGAAAAGGAAAAAGCTGACTAATCACAGAAATAATGATTAGTTGAGTAGAAACAAGTGCTCAACTAGAACATTTGGAATTTGTGTTACAGCATTTCATGTTTTCAACTTAAATATCAAATATTACAGAAAGTTAGCAAATCGGTAGCAAGTATGCAGGTGCTTCAGTATAGTGGCATAATCATCAACAGGCACGTTTGTTTTATAAGAGGTTAAAAGTAATTTGTTTTAACCAGCGTTTCAGGATCATGAGGACATTTTCAGTCATGTCTTGGTGAAGCAGCAATGAAAAACGTGTTTCTTGATTATGTAAATAAAAACATTTAAGAGCATATTTTAGCCAAGAAAGCTCATTAGCAAATTCTAGTTTAAGGCTTCTATAGGAGAACAACAAGCAGACATTTTTCAAACTTTAATTAAAGTGCTCTGATCCTGGATCT